TCCAAATTTCCATGACAGTGATTTAACTTACCATCACATATTTAATATAATTCATTAACACCATCGACATCAACCATTATATCACCTACCAAGGAGGCTATATTTCCATTATCACGATTAACTAAAAGACTTTGATGGTCCAAAATGACATTTTATTGCCTATGGCTTCAAAGGGGTCAACTAATCAATTGTGATACAGATGAGGCTGCAATTATTATTTTTCTCAACCACTCAAAAAAAAAAAGAAAAGAAAAAAAAAAAGGTTGATTAACATGCTTTAGAATCAACCTTTTTATCTCTCTATCTTTCTCTTATGTATGTATGTATGTTTATGCATATACACATAAACATGTGTGGTTTGCAGGTTGTCAGCTGAATCAGACAAAAGTTTTGATGAACGGTCATGAACTTTTATAAGTGTGTTGCAGGTGGATTAGATTTAGTGATAAGGATCCGCGATCAATCCAGACGATTTGGTATTAAGGCGGTGGCCGAGGTTTGGCCTTCTGTAAGTGCTTTTAAGTCACTGTTGTTATTGATTTTGTTATCATTATCATCCTTATTATTATAACTGTCATTATCATTCTCATTATTATCCTTTATTATTACTGTTATTATGCTCATCTTTATAATTTTCATTATTATTGCCTGGAATGACAAACACATCAAACCCCTCCCAGAATAACAATTCAACAACAGTACGTACACACACACATTCATATATAAATATATATATATATATATATATATATATATATATATATATATATATATATATATATATATATATATATATATAAATGAATAAATAAATCTGTAAATAAATAAAATAACACACACAGATAATCAGACAAATAAACAAATAAAATAAACATAAAAAAACACCACCAGAAACATTCTCCCTCCTTTCCCTTGCCCACGCACCTCCCCAATACCCACGCCACCCCACCCCCATGCCATCCCCCCCCCCCCCCCTTACCGCAGGCGAGCAGTCGAGCAGGCACATCTTCCCCGAGCGGATGACGGAGAGGATGGAGTCGAGCTTGGTGCCATACAGGTTGCCGCTGAATTCGCCATACTCCAGGTACCTGTGTTGCCGGACGTCCGCCTCCATCGCCTCCCGCGTCGTGAAGTGGTAGGCCTTCCCGTCCACCTCCAGCTCTCTCATGGGGCGCGACGTGTCTGGGGAGCGAGGCTGGATGAGCGTGCTTTGTGGTGGATGAGGGTGAGGGTGGATGAGGGTGGATGAGCGTGCTTTATGGTGGGTGGGTTAAGGTGGATGAGAGCGGTTTATGGTGGGTGGGTGAGGGTGAGGGTGGATGAGGGTGAGGGTGGATGAGGGTGGATGAGCGTGCTTTATGGTGGGTGGGTTAAGGTGGATGAGAGCGGTTTATGGTGGGTGGGTGAGGGTGAGGGTGAGGGTGGATGTGGGTGAGGGTGGATGAGGGCGGTTTATGGTGGGTGGATGAGGGTGAGGGTGGATGAAAGTGGTTTGTGTTGGGTGGGTAGGTGAGGGTGGGTAGTGTGGTGGATGAAGGCGGATATATTGCGGATGAGGAAGGGTATGTGTTCTGTTGGCTGAGGGGAGGTGTGTGTTGAGTGAGTGTGGGTATGTGGTGGGCGGGTGAGTGTGGGTACATGGATGAGTGTGGGTGTGCGGTGGGTGACAAAGGGTATGTGTGGATATGTAGTGGATGAGGACGGGCATGTGTTATGTCGGCTGAGGGGGGTGGGGGGGCATGTGGCGGATGAGGAACGATACTTGGCGGATGAAGAAGGATATTTGGCGGATGAGAGAAGCTATGTAGAGGAAAGACACATTACGAGTGTCCTTTATATGAATGTGTTTTCATGGGATCTTTTTCGATTCTGATCAATTACATATTTTCTTACGTTTATGCCCATCTACCTGTGTGTCTGTCTGTCTTAATAATATTCCTATTAAGTTCCCCCTGAATTAAACGAGTAAAGAGTTGAAAATCATTGTAACTATAAGCACAAGCATTCGTTAACAACCTAAGTGCGAGACCATCTCCAAGGATAAATAAATGAGTAAATAGCGAGATGGATAAATAGATAAAAAGACAATGTGACAGGTAGACAGATAAACAGACAGATAAATAAACTAAACGATGGACAAACTCTTTGACAGGTAAACAGAGAAATATATAATTAAGACAAACAGACAGATGATCCCTTCTCCTGCGAAAAAGAAAGAAAGAAAGAAAAGAAAGAAAGAAAGAAAAGGAAGAAAAAAGAAAGAATGAAAGAAAGAAGGAAAAGAGAGAAAGAATGACAGAAAGAAAGAAAAGAGAGAAAGAATGAAAGAAAAATAATGAAAAAAAGGTAAAAGATAGAAAGAAAGAAAAATAATGAGAAAAAGGAAAAAGCTAAAAAGAAAGAAAAATAATGAAAAAAAGGAAAAAGATAGAAAGAAAGAAAAAAGAAAAAGAAGGAAAGATAGAATATAAATAAATAAAGAAAAATATATAAAGAATGAAGGAAAGAAAAAGAAAGAAAAAAGAAAGAAAGAAAGAAAAAGAAACAAAGAAAGAAAGAAAGAAAAAAGGAAGAGAGAAAGGAAGAAAGAAAGAAAGAAAGAAAAAGAAAAGAAAAAAAAAGAAAAAAGAAAAAGAAAAGAAAAGAATAAAAGAAAAAAAAAAAATTAAGAAAGAAAAGACAGAGAGATAAAAAAATAGACCAGGCCTTACGAGGGATGATGGTGCCGAACTTGGAAGGATCCGAAGCGATGATCCTGTTCTTGAGCGTTCTCCTTCCGACGCCGTGGGACCCGATGAGGACGAGGGTCTTGCGCATGAAGGGCGGCATCCGGGCGACTTCCTCGTACAGCAGGAGCTCCGCCTGGTCGTAGTCCGTGCTCTTCTTGGTGGAAAACATGAGCTTCTTCTTCCGTTTCGAGATCTGGCGAAGGAGGGAGGGAGTGAGGGAGTGAAGGAGGCAGGGGGTAGGAAGGGAGGGTGGGAGGGGGTAGGGAGGGAGGGAGGGAGGGAGGGAGATTTGTTTTGCTTATTGGTTTGTTTGTTTTTGATTTGTTTGTTCATTTATCTATTTGTTTATTATCATTTGTATTGTTATCATTATTATTGTGTTGTGTGGTTTAGGCCCCGCGATTGTACTTCTACTGATAATACTGTATATGACTGTCATAATCAAAAGATGAACAGTTTGTTTTTCTGTCTATTTCTCTTTATATTTAAAATAACTCATTTGACTGTCAAATTATCTTAAAAAAAACAGCGACATTACTTTTCCTCCTGGCTTTACCACCAAACTTAACAATCTTACTCTCAATAAACAAACAAAAAAATATATATATATGAACAAACAAACTTACAACTAAATCAACAAAATAACCACACACACGAACAAAAACACAAACAAACAACAAACAACCAGCAGCAACTTACTCTCGTGCCACAGATGCATACATACTTAATAATCTTACTCTCAATAAACAAACAAACAAAAAAAAAGAACAAACTTATAACTAAATAAACAAATAACCACACACACGAACAAACAACACACGATCAGCAGCAACTTACTCTCGTGCCACAGATGCCGATCTTATGCACGTAATCATATTCCTGTCTGACGAAAGCTTTGCGACGCTCCTCCAGCTCCTGCGACGGGATGAGGCCTGTGCGCTTGCTGCCGGAGCCCACGACCTGTGCCTGCCACCAGTTCGGGTCCGACTGGTCAACGATCTGCCGGGGGAAAAAGGGGGCGGGGCTTAGTGTCGAGCAAGGGCGGAGCGTCTGGGATGCCGGATTGTTATTTTGTGTTGGGTAAAGTGGGTTGGAGATGTGTGTGTGTGGGGGGGGGGGGGGGTGGAGGTAACAAGAAGGAGGTAGGAAATTAGATTGATTGTAAAAAGTGTCGTAAAAACAGTTATAATATACAGTCGTGCTTCTAGTGCCTTTCGACGCTGATTATAATATATATAAAAAAAAAAATAAATAAATAAATAAAACACACACACACACACATATATATATATACACACACATATATATATATATATATATATATATATATATATATATATATATATATATATATATATATATATATATATAAATTTAAGATACAGTAATATATAACAAATCTAATATTTGTAGGAGAGAAAGAGGACAAGAGAAAGAGATAAAGAAACAGAAAAAGAGAAACAGAAACAGAGAAAGAAGAGAAACAGAGAAATAAAAATAAAAGGAGAAGAAAAAGAAAGAGGAAAATAGAGAAAGAGAGAGAGAGAAAAAAAAAACGAAAAACGAAAAAAGTACAACAAAAAAGACCAAAAACAGAGAGAAAAAAATGACCTATAACGTCCGACCCCTACCTGCAGAATATCCCCCTTTTCGAACTTGAGGCCAATATCCTGTGGCTGCTGCGAGGGGCACGTGGGCAGAAGAGTGTCGTCTGTGGGGTCGTAGGAGTAAAGAGCTCGCATGTAGCACTGTTCGGGAGAGAAACGTGCGTTAAGAGTGTGAGAGTAAAAAAAAAGAAAAGAAAAGAAAAGAAAAGAAAAGAAAAAGAAAAAGAATCCGCGCATGCATAATTTCGTCTTTTATCAGATGCGTATTTCATCATTACAGGTTCATTAAAGTTGTATCGTGAATCTATGATCTTGCTGTCTAGTGCAGTTAAAATGACTGTGGATGATTTTTAAAATTCAAATGGCAAAATAAGTTAGTTACATAAAATAGTGTATTATCTATCTTATATCATTATATCTATCTATCTATCCATCTATATATACATACATATATAAAACAAGGTTACAGATTATCTTTATAAGATTGTCTTTCCAGGTTAGTACTATTATTCATATAAAATTATCATTGCATTCACTTAAAGAACCATAATTATATATTAGTAACAAAGAATCTAAGCTACATTTACAAATGGGTTTTCACATGCATTATCAAAAAAAGAAAAAGAAAAAGAAATCAGTTAGTAATCGACAAGACCCTTCTTAATTGCAGAAGTGAAAGCCAATTCTAATAAAAAAAGAACTAATACAAGCATTACACACACAAAAAAATCAATTAGTACCATATCAACTACTTCCTGAAAGGCACACGTGAATGGCAAATCCTCAGAAAATAAACGAATCAACGGAAGGAAAGCTGTGCAACGTTAATATTTCCTCGAGCAACCCACCGCCACAGCGCCACCACCAGGAGGAAACCCGAAGGAGAAGCATCTGTTAGGATGACCGAAGCGAGACTCCAAGTCGCGCAAAACGCAAAATGAAAAAAAGCGAAAAGGAACTTACAATGGCCCTGGCTGCGTCTGGGTGGAGGGTGCTGGTTACCTGGTTGGGCGCCGGCGGGTCGTGGAGGGCCGGCAGCACCTTCAGCGTCACGGAGTCTCGACACTTGGCCACCTCTTCGTGTAGCTGTTGAAGGCTGCTGATCTGCGGAAGGGGGCGTGGCTGTTACGGTGCTTCTATAAAGGCGTTTGGTCTCGGTGTACATTGTGGTAGATTTCCATTGGCTAATTAGTACCGATGTCAGTTTTACAGTAGCACTGTTTAAATGAATCTTGATAAATCTTTAGTATTAACAGCAGCATTATTCTTACCTATCTAGATTTTGATACCTCAGCGTGAAACTTATGCTGAAAAAGGCAAAAAATAACAAATAAACAACCGAACAAACCAAAAAGCACCCACCTCGACACCGTTCACCTCGCAGATGGCGTCGCCGACGTGCAGGAGTCCCTGTCTGTCGATGCTGCCGCCCGCCATGATCCTGGCGATGACCAGGTAGCCGCTCTCGTCCTCCCGCACCGTCAGCCCCAGCGGTTCGTCGGGGCGCTTCCGGAGGCCCACCATCCGGATGGCGTCCACCGGGTAGCCATTTTCCTCGGGCATGAAGGTGGCGTTGTCGTGGCAGCCGTTGATGCCGTTGTTGTAGCCGTTGGAGGTGCCTGCGTCGCCCGCGTGTCTGCGGTCGGCGATGGTATCGTGGGTCTCGAGGAGTGCCTGGACGAGGGGTGAGGGGGGGGGTTCATGGGGAGACAAGAATCAGATTCTGTTTCGAGTTTTGGGCGTCGTGTTGGAAAGGAAGGTAAGCGGGTTGGGGTACTGCAGAATGTACAGATAATGATATACAAGTGTGACGAAAGAATTTCTGTAAATAGAATGTGTATCTAAAGAGCATTATCTGCTGTGTGAGATGTCTTATCAGGCTACTCAAAATTTCGTTCATTGGATCCTAAAGACAGGTATTCACAATATTTCTAAATATTTCTAATATTTAGAATATAATATTTCTAAATTTAAAAAATAATAATGGAAATATTCTAGTACTTGCTCAATGATATAGCTAAATTATCATGATCATTTTCAGAGGAAAAATATTATTACATAACACAAATTAGACGAAAAAAAAATCAAACAAAAAACAAAAAAAATCTCTCTTTCGCCCTTCCTCCTCTCTGTCTTTCACTGTTTCAGAACACACAGATCCACAGAGAAAATATTAAACAATAACTTTACACTGAAATTCAAAGGATATGACGAATAGCTGCAACTGATCAGCTGGTGTCGAGGAGCGGAGCCAAACACCCACAGTAACCATTGACGCAAGTTCACCCGCACAACAAGGAATAACATCTCACCATTGCAGAACATGCTCTCTGTCAGTGTAGTGTGAGATTGTATTGTTGCAAAAGAGCTGGAATGTTGCACACTCCTTGGAAATATGTCTTTTCCACAAGACACGAGGAGAAAAAGAAAGAAAGAAAAGACATTGGTGTTACAGAGGTGTAAAGTGTATCATGTTATAATAGTGTAAGTGTGTTACAGAAAAATTAGAAATAAGTATCAACTTAAAATAGTTATCTCTGGCATGCATCTTCAACAAAAAAACAAAAAAAATCAAAACAAAGCAAACCAAAAACAAAAACAAAAACAAATCGTCACTCATTGTGTATAATTTAAAATCTGACTGAGAATGATTACATAATCTTATAATAGGCAGGCTGCTTTGCTGGCTTATTTACAGTTTCTATATCTACAGCCAATGGTATTTATCAATGTTATCGTTTGACAAATAATGCATCAGTTCTTTGACAAAGAAAACTGAAAAAGTTGTTTGGGAATATGATGTTATGAAGGTAATGTCATTAATATCCGTTCTGTGGTGAAGAACTGGTTTCTTTGCGTTACACTAATCAAAACACGCTCGTACATATGATAGAAAGGAATAGTGTTGGTAATCAGGAGGAGGAGGAGGAGGAGGAGGAGGAGGAGGAGGAGGAGGAGGAGGAGGAGGAGAAGGAAAAGGAGGAGGAGAAGGATGATGATGATGATGATGAACAACACGAGAAGGAGAAGGAGAAGGAGAAGGAGGAGGAGGAGGAGGAGGAGGAGAAGGATGATGATGATGATGAATAACAGAAGGAGGAGGAAGAGGAGGAGGAGGAGGAAAAGGAGGAGGAGAAGGATGATGATGATGATGATGAACAACA